TTTTTTTTGTTTGTTTGTTTTCTTTTTTTTTTTTTTCTTCTCTATTTTTTCTTTCTGGGATTTAACCATTTCACACGCTGAGAGGATCCAGAGATTCCTTGGGCACAAACCAAAAGGCAACTACGGGGAAAAAGGATGGTTCGCTCAGCCCCCTGCCCTCCCTTGCCAATACCAAAAGCTAACCTGGAAATCTAATACCTCTTTCCTGAAGGAAGCGGTTGCTGGAGGGATCCGAAGGTTGCAAAGTGCAAAAATCTTTAAAGTTATGTGGGGATTTAAAAAAAAAAAAAAAAAAAAAAAGAAAAAAAAAAAAAAAACGAGCAAAGAAACCCGCAACACTAGAACCTCATGTGTCACCAAAAGCGATGGCTTTGCAGAGCGCTTCTCCCACCCGCCCGAGACATGCAAACTCCTCTATTTGTGAAAATACTTCAATAAAAACAAGTTAAAGTAACTGTTCTCAGGGATTGCTTACTAAAAGTAACACACAAAAAAAAAGCATTTATGATACTGTAAATACTATAGTATATGTGTCAATTATTAAATTGTAAAGTTATAATTATTTATAATTCTGTCTTTTATTTGGGGGATACTTGAAATTGTTGTGGGCTGGGGCGATTATTTTTATTATTGCTATTATTATTATTATTATTATAACTATTATTTAAAAAAACCACACAAAACAAAACCACAGACAAAAAGAGGAGGAGGCACGCGAACATTTCTCAGGTTCCCATGGCATCGTCGGCAGCAAGAAGGGTGTGGGGGGAGGCGAACGTCCGCTTGACTCGCAGGCCTGGGACGGACGGACGGACGGACAGAAGGAGGAGCCGCAGCCCAGCGCTTGAGGACAGCGAAGGAAGGGACTCGGGGTGACGCTCGCTTGGACACACGTGGATGCTGGCGATGGAGGACACGAGCCCATTGCCTCCCTGGGGAGGGAGGGAGGGGGGGACAGGCGCAGCCGTGACACCTCTCCGCACCCCTCTGCTTCCACGCTCCGTGGTGCGGCCAGCGCTCAGCCCTTCCCGGCTTCACCCCGCAGCGGGGGCAGACTTTCCAATCCCGTGCCGGCGGCTCTTTGGTTTTGGTTCATTTCTTTGCCAGCGGGTCAGGAGGGCTGGGGGGGGCCAGGGCTGGTCTGGACGGTGACTTGGAGTTAAGAGAACGTGGGCTAATTATCTGCTGTCTGGTTTGACTTTGAATATTTTGGCAAGTGACTTGTGTCAGCGCTCCGGCCAGGAAACCAATTGTACTCAAGTCTCTGTCACCACTGAAATAGCGGTCTTCAACCAGTCTGTTTCTCTCTTTTTTTCCTTTTTTTTTTTTTTGCGTGCGTGCGTGTATGTGTGTGTGCGACCTCTTCATCTGATGTTTAATAATAAAAGGGATGAACGTTAACGCCTGTATCTCTATTGCCTTTTTCTGAAGTCAGAGCGGTCACCATGCTTGCTGGGGACAGCCTGGTGTCGCCGGCAATGGAACAGGGCAGAGCCCCGGGGAGGAGGCACCATCACAGCCTCCCCCCGTGGTACCCAACTCCTGTGCCCCAAGGAGGGGGACGGAGCGTTGGCAAGGCACTCTGGCTACTTCGGGGTGCAATTCCCTGCCACGCTCAGCATCAGCAGGTCCCTGCCCACCCTGGTGCCACTGTCCCATCTCTGCTGGCTAGAGCAGTGTTGGTGCCCACGTCTTGGTCCATCCTACAGCCAGCCTGGACCACAGTGAATGTGCTGCAGTGTGGGATGGGGTAGCACAGTCGTAACTCGGGGTTCTTGGGTGCTGCTGGCACCCTGGGCTGCTTTCTGCAGGGCTTGCTGAGGCCCAGGCAGACTTGGCCCCGAGGCTCAGAGAAGGTGGGGAGGTGAGGGGACACACACACATCTCCAGGACCAGTGGGATCATCCCAAAGAGGCTCTATGAGCTGGAGAAGGGGGGTGGTGGTGGTAGGGCCATGGTGTCTCTGCCACCATCCCAGCAAGTGTGGCTCAGTGCTGGTGGTGCTAAGTGTCTTGAAGACTCCTGCCACGTGGCCGGCTGCGCCCCTGGTGAGTCTTGCTGGGTGTCCCACCCATTTGGGGATGCCCTGGATCCATGTCATGTTTCCTGTTCCCACCTGAGCGGGATGGTGGTACAGTTCACACTGAGCCTGTGGCAGGGGTGGGCTGTGAGCCCCCAGCTCCCAGGCTGTCACCCTGCCAGCTTCAAGCAGCCCATCTCCCCACCAGGGCCGAGGACATCCATAGTGTCAGGGGATGCCTATTGTGCTCTGGGCTTGCCTCCTCTCTCAGAAGCCCTTGGCACAATACTGTGCAGCCCGGCAGGGAGAGGTATCTCCCTGCTTTGCTGGCACCCCCATTTCCCCATTCTGACCTGCAGGACAGGGCTCAGGGGCTCCCCCTGACCTCACACGCCCCACTGCCAGCCTGCCATCATGGCCCATCTCTTCCAGGACTGTCCAGTTCCCCGTTCCCCCCAGCGAGAGCCACACGGCTGCTGCGGAGAAGGTGCTGGTTTAATGCTGCAGCACAACCTGGAGCCAGCCCTGTGACAACACACTACTTGAGGCGACTGTGCCCAAACCGGAGTCCTGTCCCCAAGCCCCCAGGCTCAGCTGTGCTTGTTGATGTGGCGGGAATGAGCGTGCACCGCCTCCACGAAGGAACCCACGTGCTCGGGGTTCATGTCAGGGTAGAGGCCATGGCCCAGGTTGGCAATGTAGCGTTGGGTCCCGAAACCCTCCAGCATCTTCTTCACCAACTCTCCAATCTTCTCCTGTAGGCACGGTGGGAAACCACGTGTAAGACGCATCCAGCCCAGGTTACTTCAGTCCCCAGCCATCCTGGGGGACTGCTGGGACAAGAGCCACCACTGCAGGTGGGGAAACTGAGGCAGAAGGCCTTCATCACAGGCTGGAACTAGCCCCCGCTGCTAACAATGGCCACAGCTCACCTTGGGTGCATAGAGAGCGCAGGGATCCAGGTTCCCTTGCAGGGTGACATCTTTCCCTGTCTGTGCACTGCAGCAGGGAGGAAGCAGGTGAGTTGTTGGTGTGGTGCAGAGGATGGGGGCAACCCGGTAGCCTCTGCCACTGCTGCAGGGCACACGGGACCCCTCAGCGCAGCCCTTGGTTGCTGTTGAGCTCCCCGTAGCGTAGGGGCCCTACTATCCCACCTCTGGAGCAGAAATCTCCAGGCCTGGGATGGTTCAGGGCAGAGGAGGTCAGGGAACCCAGCCCAGGCTGCTGCCCAGGCACCTGAGCGCTCTGCCAGATTCTTACCGAGCTTCCTGGGGCCGGATGGTCCAGTCGAGACCAACCACCTCGTAACCGGCATGGGCCAGGTCGCGCAGCGCGTAGTGTGCGTCCTTCGCAAAGATGATCTGGGGAGGGAGGAGACAGGCAGTAACTCTGCTATGGGTCAGCCACCTCTCCGCAGGTGGAACTGGGAGAGGCAGTACCCAGGTACCGGGGATGCACCCTTCTCCTGGCAGCCCCCAGATGCCAGGGACAATCCAGGGACTCACCATGGGCACCAGGGGTAGTGCCTCCTCCTTCAGCTTGCTCTTGACAGCCTGGGCGATGTCTCGGATGTAAGGCAAGGCGAACTCCTGAAACTGCTCCGGGCCCAGGTGCCCCGCATGGGACTCAAACAGCTGGAGCGCCTGAAGGGGACATGGGGCTGGGAGAGCCGCACCTCAGTCCCTCCTCCTCCCAGAAGCTGGACCCTCTCTGCTCCCTGTCCCCAGTCCCATGCCCTCCTGCCAGGCCCTGTCCCCATGCCCCAGGACACACCTGTGCTCCAGCAGCCACCTGCCCCACCAGGTAGTCAGTGATAACATCAGTCAGCAGCCGCAGCAGTCGGTGGCTTGCCTCGGGGTGACAGTAGAGCCAGCTCTTGGCCTTGGCCATTGTATTGGAGCCACCACCTTCAATCATGTAGGACATGAGCGTCCACTGTGGGAAGGAGATGAGTGGAGTGAGGAGGGTGATGGAGTCAGAAGAAGATGTGAGGGGCCGGTCACGGTGCTGGAGGTAGGACCTGTGAGCATCCCAGAGCCTGGGACACAGCTGTTCCTGCACTGAACGTCCCCCACCTGCACACCCCTAATAGCAACCACAGCTCTGGGGGTGTCATGGCTGGTATCACCCCAGAAGAAAGAGCAGAGAAGCCCAGCTGGGAAGGAGGAGACACATCACTTACAGGCGCCCCAGAGAAGCCGATGAGGGGCACCCTGCCCTCCAGGCTGTGTCGGGTCAGCGTGATGGCCTGGAAGACGTAACCCAGCTCCGCGGTCACATCCACCTTCTGTCGCAGTTTTAACAGATCCTCCACCTCCTTCAGGGGCTCTGTGAACGTGGGTCCTTTGCCAGGGACCATGACAACCTCCATGCCCAGTGCCTGGGGACAAGGGAGAATGGAAGAGGCAGGAATGGGGTGGCCCTGAACCCAGCTCCGTTCCCAGCCACTGCTCCCCACTGCCAGCCATGGCTCTCACCTGGGGCACCACCAAGATGTCAGAGAAGATGATGGCAGCATCCAGGGGGAATCGTCTGAGCGGCTGCGGAGGGGAAGAGGCAGCGTCAGTGGGGGCTGGGACCTCCTCCCCATGGAGCACATGGAAAAGCACATGGGGCAGCAGGGTCCCCAAGGGCTGCACAACTTGCTGGAGCCACCCAGGGTTGCCAGACCCAAGGTTTCTCCTCTTCCCCATCTAGGCAGGGAGAGGGGACACACAGACTCCCCTTGGAGGGTGCTCACCTGCAGAGTCAGCTCACAGCACAATTTGGGGCTCCGGCAAGTGGCGAAGAAATCCTGCGCCGCCCGGGTCTCCCGAAATTCTGCAAGGGAGCGGCACGAGCGTTACGGGGTGCGTGCCGAGCCCCACCACCACCCCCCTCCCTGCACACCTCC